AGTGGTTATATTGGTAGAAGGATGTTGGAGATGGAGCTGCCAGGCAAGAGGTCAAGAGGAAGGCCAAAGAGGAGATATATGGATGTGCTAAAAGAGGACATGAAGTTAACTGGGATGAGAGTAGAGGATGCTGAGGATAGAGTTAGGTGGAAACAGATGATTCGCTGTGGCTACACCCTAACGGGAACAGCCGAAAGAAGAAGTCCCATAATTTCATCTCTTATGTCGAAATCAGGGCCAACTTTTCTCTTCTTATTTATTTTGCTGGCAAAAACGAGCTTCCGCGTCGTTCAGTATCAGCTGTGATGACTTAAAATGAGTTGGTAATAAAGTTATTTACAGCTCCTTTTAATTGGAAACGGTGACACCAGCTAATTAAACCCAACTTCCCTCACCTGAACTGTAGTTTCCTCCTCAGCAGTGGTCCTTTCAGCCCTTTCATGTGATCTGTTCAGAGCGACAACACTGACGTTACTCAGATAAACAGAATGGAAACCTGTCGCTACACGGTTCTGGGAATTTTAAGTGAACGGAAGGCAGACATTGACAGGCAAATAAAAATATTATCAATGTTAGCTACTCACCTTTATGGCAGTGGGAGAGGAAATATGCCCGGGCATGTAGGTTCTCCCTATCGAACCGGTCCAGAGAAATTGTAGGATACTCCTTCATTCGACCTGCAAATGAACTCATATTTATGTCTAAACCTTCGGTAACCTATCCTAAAATTAATCATCTGGATTTTTGTTTTGTTTTGTTTTGTTTTTATTTTTCAACGACGCTAGCAAAACCGGCGTATCGTCCGAGCGCTCCTGTTTGTTTGACCCGCCCATCGAATAATTTTTCTTCTTCTTCTAAGTTTTACTGACGGGTTGCACAAAACGAATTGGTGCATTACCGCCACCAAGTGGTAAGGCGGATGGGTCAACAATAGTCAACTTTAAAAATAAAAAAATAAGTTTAACCTGGTTGTTCTAAGGTCCTGGGACAAAAACTGGTAATATTTATTTCCTGAGTTTTTCCTAAATATATCTCTTAAGGCACTTTTATCTCTCTAAAGATTAAAATAGGTCTCTTCCTCGTTTCATATTTCTGACAGTGTAACATGTTCTATCTCTTTTTCCCCACAATGTTCACATTTGCCTGTATTATGCTTCCCTATTTTTAACTGTGTGCTGTTTAGCCCAGTATGTCCAAATCTTAATCTTGATACTATCGTCTCATCTTCTGCTTCTTCCCATAACCTCTCATCTCTCCTACTTTCCTTTGTTTTCCTAATAATAAACCATGGATCACTAGTGAACTGAAGGCATTACTTAACACTAAGAAGAGAGTGTTTAAGTTGGGAAATAAAGAGCAGTTGAGGATCGTTCAACATGAATTGAGGGACAAAGTTAGGGAGTGTAAGGAGTCCTACAGGAGGAAGTTGGAAGACAAACTCCAAAAAAACAACATGAGGGAAGTGTGGCTTGGGATGAAGGAGATCATTGGAACTGGGGGGAGAGGTAGACAGTCTGCTGGAGGCATAGAGAGGGCTAACGAGTTCAATACCTATTTTAATAGGTTTAGCTCTCAGCCTTCCCCTGTCTCCTCTAACCCTTCTTTGG